TATTATAAGTAACGTCCCACGTGGCCAGGGCAGCCCGTGGCTGGTATTATAAGTAACGTCCCACGTGGCCAGGGCAGCCCGTGGCTGGTATTATAAGTAACGTCCAACGTGGTCAGGGCAGCCCGTGGCTGGTATTATAATTAACGTCCAACGTGGTCAGGGCAGCCCGTGGCTGGTATTATAAGTAACGTCCCACGTGGCCAGGGCAGCCCGTGGCTGGTATTATAAGTAACGTCCCACGTGGCCAGGGCAGCCCGTGGCTGGTATTATAAGTAACGTCCAACGTGGTCAGGGCAGCCCGTGGCTGGTATTATAAGTAACGTCCCACGTGGCCAGGGCAGCCCGTGGCTGGTATTATAAGTAACGTCCCACGTGGCCAGGGCAGCCCGTGGCTGGTATTATAAGTAACGTCCCACGTGGCCAGGGCAGCCCGTGGCTGGTATTATAAGTAACGTCCAACGTGGTCAGGGCAGCCCGTGGCTGGTATTATAAGTAACGTCCAACGTGGTCAGGGCAGCCCGTGGCTGGTATTATAAGCAACGTCCCACGTGGTCAGGGCAGCCCGTGGCTGGTATTATAAGTAACGTCCCACGTGGCCAGGGCAGCCCGTGGCTGGTATTATAAGTAACGTCCCACGTGGCCAGGGCAGCCCGTGGCTGGTATTATAAGTAACGTCCAACGTGGTCAGGGCAGCCCGTGGCTGGTATTATAAGTAACGTCCCACGTGGCCAGGGCAGCCCGTGGCTGGTATTATAAGTAACGTCCAACGTGGTCAGGGCAGCCCGTGGCTGGTATTATAAGTAACGTCCCACGTGGCCAGGGCAGCCCGTGGCTGGTATTATAAGTAACGTCCCACGTGGCCAGGGCAGCCCGTGGCTGGTATTATAAGTAACGTCCAACGTGGTCAGGGCATCCCGTGGCTGGTATTATAAGTAACGTCCCACGTGGCCAGGGCAGCCCGTGGCTGGTATTATAAGTAACGTCCCTCGTGGTCAGGGCAGCCCGTGGCTAGTATTATAAGTAACGTCCCACGTGGTCAGGGCAGCCCGTGGCTAGTATTATAAGTAACGTCCCACGTGGTCAGGGCAGCCCGTGGCTGGTATTATAAGTAACGTCCAACGTGGTCAGGGCAGCCTGGACATTATAACTTGAAAGCATGAACAATGATCCACACCATCGGGGTACGATGTCACGCATAGGCCACACAGTCTGACCACCCAGTATCTTAAGTTGTCGGCTCTTCTGTCGTCAGGTATTGGGAGCTTTACTGGGAATTCTGACCTGGACAACAGCTTTCATGGGAATATAGAAGGTAAGGAGAGGTGAAGTGGGGTTTAACGTCGCGTTCAAGATTATTCCACTTGTATAGCGACGTGCATGGCTGTAATTCGAGACTTCCAATAAGCGAAGTACATGCACACGCGCGCGTGCTTGCCCACTGAGATACCATGGCGCAGTCCAGTACTTGTATTTTAGCCCCTTAATGCCGAGCGCCAGACAGGGTAACAACAAGTACCATATTTTAACGTATGTAGGTATGACACGACCGGGGATCGAACCCCGGACCTTCCACTCTCCTATCGGACGCTCTACCACTAGACCACGATGACGGCGGGAACATAAGGTTTCATGCCAAAGGTCACTGACTGGTTTAGGTTTCCTATTTCCCTAAAATGATTGCAACTGTTTTATCCAGAGTTCACTAGAGGAATGGACAGGTCATTGGAAGATGATGCACTCACCAACAATTTGTATGTATTCCTTATTTGATTAGGTTAGTTCGTCTGTTGATCCATTCCTCGGACGTCATCAGTGATTCAGAATGGTCTGTTTGCTGAGTACAATAAACACAGTGTCTAATGCTGTCATGAGCGTCTCCTAACTTTGTAGAGATTTCAAGAACTGTCACAGAAACTGCTTGTGTACATTGTCATTCAGCATTTCTACCAACAGTCTCTTTCAAGTTGTTGTGAAGGCAGAAAAACCAACGTACACACTGTTATACCATTCTACCAGGCAAGCAGGATGATACGTTGCTTTGATAATCCTGTTCCACTACAATCCAAGTATTGCGAGAAGTCTTCCATCACTGATATTCCTGGCGCATTATTTTATTCTATGATTTAGTTGCATGGTCATGGCTTTTCTCAATATTGATGTTGGTGCAACTTTCTAACATATGAAGCATTCAGATGGTTCAGGCGAATTACTTCCAGGAACTTTACTACTGCTCCCATAGAGTGACCTTTCCTTGCACTTTACAGCTTGGTATTATTTAACATCAGCCTATGGCTTTCATGATAGTTTACCCTTACTCGTCTCAATGTGTGTTCCATACCACCACTGTGTTCTACTCTGGTTGGCTCAAGCATTATTGGTAGAGCATTCAAAATCATGAAACAATTGAAGTTTGGTGGCTGTCTTGTTATAACCATCCTGCTCTGTCGCGTTCATGGTTCATGGCGATGAAAGACTAGTACTTTCAGTATTGGTCTGTTGACAAAGCCAACATTTGCTCCAATCAGTTTGGCATTTAGATGCCATTGTTTTCAGGTGAGAGGCCGCGCGTTTATCACCTTTCATCGAATACACTTTTTATTATGTCACACAACTAGGTTCAAGCCACTGCAATACATGTAGCTCGATCAGGGGTCACGAGTGGCTCAGTCGTCTAAGGCGCCGTGATTCGCTGTGCAGAGTTGCGTCCCTTGGGCACGCCAGAAAACTATGATTGTGGGTTCGAATCCCGGTTCGCCCCGATTATGTTTCTAGGTTTGTCAGCACCATTACCGTGCTCGTGGGTTTCACCGAAGTGGTAAACATCTGAGACCTGCATCACTTCGGGCTTTCCTCCCACATTAAGCTGACACCCCGCGATATAACTGGAATAATGTTAAAAGCGGCTTTAAACCCAACTCACTCACTCTAGCTCGATCATTCATCCATTGTCATTCACGTCCTGTGCGATCTATACACCTTCCCCACACAACCTTCCCCAAACATCCTGAATGTTGACATGCACTCTTTCATCATTTATCCCTTGCGACAAACTCTTTCTACTTTATATTTTATTCAAAACATTTTCAAATGAAAATCATATCACTGACTTCACTGATGATCTCCTCAAAGAAAACAGTTTGTACATTCGTAAGTCTTTGGTGGTTAATTTTAGATCGATAATTTCATATATTTTTCTTTAAAACAACAAAGAATCAAGGCACAAATCTGTTTAACTGTATTGACCTTTGCGAAACGAGTGTGTACATACTAGAAAACATAAATCAATAGTATATCAATCGTATAACTATGTCAGTTTCTAGGTTTTAGATTTTCAAATGATCAACACATTTTGTGTGAACAAGTAACCCAAGGCGACTGACTATACATGCACATTGTTCCTCTTGTATCATCATACCGCCTCCGTGGTCTAGTGGTAGAGCGTCCGCCCGGACAGCGGAAGGTCCGGGGTTCGATCCCCGGCCGCGTCAAACCAAAAGACGTTAAAAGATGGTACTTGTTGTTACCCTGTCTGGCGCTCGGCATTAAGGAGCTAAAACAAGGACTGGTCGGCTCGGAGTCAGTATACTGTGTCTGAGTGGGGTATTCATGTTAAACTGCGGCATGGTATCTCAGTGAGCTAGCACTATAAATCGGCATCAGTCCGGACTAGTACAAGCAGCCACACAAACACACACAATTATTTAATGAACGTTTTCATTATGACATGGGGGGAAGTCGGGTAGCCTAGTGGTTAAAGCGTTCGCTCGTCACGCCGAAGACCCGGGTTCGATTCCCGACATGGGTACAATGTGTGAAGCCCATTTTTTGGTGTCACCCGCCGTGATATTGCTGGAATATTGCTACAAGCGGCGTAGAACCAAACTCACTCACTCACTCATTGTGACATCAACACCCTTCATGGGGGTTGGTTTCTTGGAGAACGAGAATCTTATGAAGGAGATTTCCGCAGAAACAATGTAATGGGCAAGGATGTATGCAGAACTAGCAGGGCCGTATTTTGTATACCTTCTCAGAACATATAAGACGGTCCTTTCATGCTTTATGAAGAAGGGGTTCCAGAGGACATATATGTTTCCCCCGACTGGATGCCTGGATATGCAACACAACATCTCTGTATTACAAGTACCTGTATCTAGGTTGGTGGCTCGCCAGGCGTCGTAGAAGAAGCCAGTTAGTTTGTTGTCAGAGGGACAGGACGAGATCCTGACCCAACAAACGCCTCCAGCATGTCTGGTGGCACCTGTTGAAAGTTTACAGCACATTGAAATAACAATATAAGCCGTCTGCAACCTTTGTAACATTCTACTTTTACCTGTTATCCGTACTTTGTTGAAACTTTAGTGCACAGGCCTGACATACTTTATGATTATATTTCTACATCAGTACACGTTCTGCTCATTACAGTATAAACCATGCAATTGTCATCAATGGGCCCGTGGCCTCTTACGTCTCCGAAATAAATTAACACTATCTGTCACAGTGTTATATTGAGTGACAAATACTTGTTGGGCCATCCATGCTTGTGTAGGTATGGATTGGCAGGATTGAGCCCACAATACATACAGTCACTGAAAACCCACAGGAGGGCCTATTGGGCCATACATGTGTGTATAGCGATGGTCAGAATCGAAATCAGAGTAAAGCCACTGACTACGCATAAGCGTACATGTTGTCTCGTACATGTTTGTGCAGGCATGAGGAGGGTCAAAGCTTCAGTACATCCACATGCTGCCCACAAACGTACCTGTTGGGCCACTTATGTTAGGGTAGGGATGATCAGAATAGACCTCAGTGCAGCCACTGACTGTCTAGGAACGTACCTATTGTGCCATACGTCCTAGAGATAGACGACTAAGATCAAATTCACAGTACAACCACTTAATAACCAGAAACGCACCTGTTGGGTAATGTTCGTGCGTGTACAGGGGTGAGCAGGATCAGACCAACCCACTGACTACGCAGATACGTACCTGTTGGACCATAGATGCTTGTGTAGGGATGAGCAGGATCGGACCCACAATTGACCCACTGGACATCTGCTCTAGCCAGACACTTCTCCTCGTCTGTCAGTCCGCCATGGGTCTCCCCCTTGCCATCTACCACCAGTCTCCCGGGATGGAAACCGCCATGTTTGGGACACCCGTAGTTGGCGGAGTAGCAGCGCCTTGATTCAATAAGCATACACCAGAAGAATGTATAAAATATTGTATGTCTTACTATTCGTTTTTTAAGGTGGAGGTGCTCGTTTTTGTTTCTCGTGCTTTAGTTTAGGGTTCTTACATTAAAAGTAAATACCACGTTTTGTCTCTCCCGAAAACACACACAAGAATACACTTAACATCGATAATCATACAATAAATATTAGTTTAATTTTGAATTAAGGATATGTATTGTTCTCGGACCCGTGGGTAATGAGTGACAACTGTAACGAAGGGTCATGCATAGGTTTCAGGGGATTTCATAACACAATTTCACCTGTAGGCCCGAAGACTACAGTGACAGTTTCGTTGTCCGGTGAGCCACAATACTGCCACTGTCTGGCTGCCCGTTTCAGACAGTTCTCCTCCTTTACCCCAGTCTGCTCATGCTGCTCCCCCACACGTCCCGCTGTGTGCCACTGATGGGGTGGGACGGGCACCCGGAGTAGATCAACCAACAACCTGTAATAGCAGAATTCCTGATACTCGTAATCAATCAGTTGATACGTATGTAAGTTTATAGAGGGTTATGTAATACGTATAAGTTTAGGTTGGTGTAATACTTATAATATATACATAAATTGCAAGTGAATCCGTGGCTTTTGACTTGTGGATGCTTCAAGAATTTGTGCTTGCGTTCAAGTGTACATCAACTGAAAAACATTTAGGACACGCCCACTAACACAAATGATTCCTAACTGGCTGATAATAGAATGGTCGTTATTTGTGTTTCATTATTGAGCTGAACGATTTTGTATTGTTGTTATAGTTTGGAGTTTGATTAAATAAGAAGATGATGACTGTGAATTTTGAAATGGAAGTACCAAACAATGTGACAACAAGATTTATGTCCTTAATTTAAAATATATATATATATATATATATATATATATATATATATATATATATGACGCTCGGAAACAGCATAACGTTATCAACGGATATATTTCAGCCACCATTGATGTATCCATGAATGTTATATTATCATAATTTTCCAGTTAAAAGAGGCAGATCAAGGACAATACAATTAGCATCAAGAAAATGCCCACGCTGCCATATGTGACAAGGGACATGAATGTCACTATTTGTGTATCTGTTAAAATATAAACAGATCTGTTCAGAAAATATGTTTGTGGCATTGTGATACTGTATTAATGTACATACATTTGTGCATAATCAGTACATGATTCGTACCTCTAATGTACTGTTACTTTGTAAAAGTTGCAACAAATAAGTCAGTTTTACTTAAATGAGCTTTTCAGTCTCAACATAAAGCCATAAAAACATAAGTCCACAACGTCAATCGTCTGTTTAAAATAGACAAATACATATTACCGAATATACTTGTTTATAAAGTGGAATAAGTACGCTCTCTGACCCAATCATAATGTGATTCACAGGAATCTCGTGCCAGTCGGGATGGTCCTTGAGTTAATTGCGGTATTATGGAAAAATCAAGCCTAAATTCATGCATAAACATTATAAATAGCTGTTACACTATAACGATAAGGAAATATATGACATCATCGATTGTATTGTCTGGAGGTATTAGCCGTCATGACATAACTGGAATATTACAACAGTATCTGATTTTGTCATAACACATAAAACAAACGATGCTTTTGGGTAGACACTCGTCACATGAAATGGCATACGACCATGTCCGAAGAAAACTACACTCACCTTTAATTATATATATTAATTCATTTTATGTTTTTTGTTGTTACTTTTACTTTAAGATATGTTTTAGCATGTGACATATAGGTAAAGTATCTGTTCCTAAGAACTACATTTCAAATGCCAATTGGTCCTCAATATTAATTACGTACCAATATATCGAGTCATTAAAACAGATGCACACCTTGCTTTGGGATATTTGGGTAGAGTGTGTTAGGACCAGAACCATCTGAGAAGTATGGCGTCTGTGGTGTCTTTGTTGCTGGGGCGACGGTCCCGGCACATGCAGGAGCTTGAACTGGGGGCGTCTTAGTTTGTCTGGCTGTAAAAGTGTACAAGTAATAAAGGATATTCAGGTCATAAAATATTAATGACATTTTATTGATATTCATCCTGCCTGCTTCACTACCTAAAACCCATCTCACATCATCTTATCTCCCAAAGTACACCCAAACAATGGATACTGTCTACATGTGTTCTTTTGCTCTTCTTTCTTTACTTGGTGAAATACACCATAGACAAATCATTCGTTGAGTTAATGTATGCACATGTCTTGAACAGCGACAAGATAGATGCCTCCCTCTTTACAAGTTTTAATCAATTGAATGAAAATCTAAGATCATGTATCTTATGGCCCTATCATGTCACTGTAGTAACTGTCTTGATATGTGGTACAGTGATGATGACTAAATGATAGATGGTCCACTGACCTTGGTGCATGTAGACAGGCCCTGTAGCATAGCGAGGTCCCACGTGGTTCACGTCTATTGGCTGGGGGAAGTTAATGGCGTTGGCCCACTCTTGCGCATGACATCTGACCCGGAAGTCAGCATCCTCAGGTGACCAGAAGTCAGTTGGCGATATGGACTGACATTTAGTATTAGTTTAGTTGAGAAGATATGACAGTGATCATTTGAGCTTTAGCAATAAGTACAACGTTGCAAGCCAGCATGTTAAATGTTCACAATCAATGTGTGGGGTGGCAGGTGAAGTTACTCATCTACACAAAGTATCGAAGCTGATAAGTTGCAAAACAATAACAGTATGTAGGCTTTTTCTTCCATTGTGATATAAGTTCTTGACTATTAAACCACTATGGTGACGTCATGCCATTGTTGTTAGGATATATTACTCGCATCTGGTGATTGCAAAAGAGGCAAATTCCAATGTAGACGGAAATTACTTCAACTTGTGATCGAATTGAATTCCATATTTGAGCCAAAATGTCCACGATACCGACAGTGCCTTTTGTGCATTTACCTGATCGTGCCTGTGTGCTATTTAAGTTTCCTCTGTGAGGTATGGTACCACTACTGTACGGCGTATTTTGTGCTGTATTTTAAGAGGAATCATGTTTCAATCAGTATTAAAGAGACCTGATTCGAGAGTAATTATGTCAAATATATGCAGACATATATACCTAGTCTTGAAATACCATGCACATTACCTTATGATTATCGTGAATGTAGAAGTACTCTGGTTTCTCTATACCGCGACCTTTGTAAAAGATATAGGGGATCCCACGAATGTTGTAAAAGATGTTGTTGTAGATTTGATTGCCTGAAATAAAGTTCGACTTGAAATTGTTGTCATCATTTATCATCATTACATCAATCATCATCATCATCATCATCATCATCATCCAACAGCACATAGAAAAAGGGAGATAACTTTTTGCGAGCTTCGGACCACCAGCAACTTGGCCACTTTTCTGGGACCACGGGAATTATTTGGCTCCGTTGCTTCTTTCATGATACCTGAAGAGGATGTACCTCCTATCTCTGGTTATATTTATATCATAATCATCCAATAATGCGAGGATTTTCATTCTTGTTATTGTTAACCACTTTGATTAACACCCAAACATCATCGTTACAGGGGTAGCACTACTGACATAGACAGACGATGCGTCTGGCTGCATATTTAGGGGTGTTGCTTTACTACACTGCACACGTGCTGAATGTCACTTTCATTAACGTGAACGAATGTGTGAGTAAACACGGTTATATATCGGCATACCAAATTTGTAATAGGTATCACAGCTTTGCGGCATCATTAATTTTGTACCGAGGGCATTGTGTTCTGACTTCAGTGTACCATTTCAGAAATATTTTAAGACTTCAACTTGTGGCTGATCACTGCGACTGCACCTGTGAATGGGTGTGTCATTTCATATTCTGATTTGCAAAATACGTGAACTGTGACTGGCTTTCTGAATCGACTTGTGATTGTTCTATGCAGAAACGCTCCCGTACCTGCTGGTTCCAGTGGGTTTGTTATGTTCGCCAGTTTGGGGTATCTGCTGGTCCACAGTGGGTTCCTATAGGGCATAGTCTGGAAGGAAACGTCAGGATACTGGGGACATGCATGTCTGAAGTCATACTTCTCTCTAAAGATCAGATCACATGGACTGGCATTATCAGAAATATATCATTACCAGAGTCTTCGGCATGAATGATGACGCTGCGATTAACCCAAAGCATTGTTGACAGAAATGTAATCATTACCAGTATCCAATGGCCTAAGGCTCCTTCTCATGTGCCCATCGTGCATCCTCAGTGGAGCCGTTTGTGAAGGTTGTATTGGTATTTCCAGGAATCCCTGTCACGTCAATGTACCCCTGAACATATCACAACAATTAGTACAGTATTAACAGGTATGAACAAAGTTTTATTCTCTAAGGTCATTCCTCTTAGTTCTCACTCGTCGAGCTGGAGACTGTTCTGACACACACCCAGTGGGTATCCTGACAATTCCTTCTTGTCCTGAAAACTGAAAGCAGTGCATGGACGTCTGATAACGGACCTCACATTTCTTTTATTGAGGGAGGGAGGGAGGGAGGGCGTTAACGAGCGAGTAGGATGGGTCTGCACAACATTTTACATCACGGCGTGTCAGCTTTATGTTTGATAAAAGCCTGAAGTGACTGATTCCCAACCGGAATCATAGAACTGAAAAACCATAAAGATGATAATCGAGGTGTATGAGCAATTTGCACCCGTGATCCGTGGATCACGGCACACCTAGGGGACGCAACTCTTCACAGAGAGTCTATAGCGGTAAGGGCGAGAACGCTAAATATCGTGGTCTTCTTTACTTTTGTGTGTACAATATACACTTTATTATTTACAAGTTTTCGATGGTGCGAAATTGAGATATAAAACAAAAATACCCTTAATGATGAATGCTTTGTGGAATCTGTCGGGTAGTGCAGCTGAGTTAGTGAGTGATTTAAATGTTAGTCTCCTCTGCAGTATTTCAGCCATATGCCATCATCCAAAGTTAGTACAAATACTTGGGACATTTGGGACTTACAAAACCAGTGCTATCTGCATGACAATCCAGCACAAGTATTTCGCTGGAGTTTCTTTTTAAAGTTACCTGGTAAAAAAATCGCAAGCACAAAATGTATTGATTTTAGTAAAACTAGCGAAGACAAGTATATGTGGTACATTTTCCCTTAGTTGAATCTGAGACATTGTCACTATTGTATCTTAATGTTTAAAAAGTATAGCCGAGCTTTGAACATAAAATCTACCTCATTTGGGTACCTGGCCAGGTGTAACGGGTTTCCGTTGATAAACAGCTCCAGCCATGAAGTCTTAGTTATGAAGAAACCAAAGCGCGTGATGTTGCCATAGTCAGATATTCCAGCACTCGGGAGGTGGACTTGAAGAATCTAGAAACAGTGACCCGAAGTTGATAAGTCACAAAGCTGTGAGTTTACGGAGTTGATAAAGAGTGAGTGAGTTAGTTAGTTTGATTTTAAGCCGCCTTTAGCAATATTCTAGCAATTGCGGGTGACACCAGAAATGGGCTTCACATATTGTATCCATGTCGGGAATCGAAGCCGGGTTTTCAGCATGACAAGCGAACGCTTTTACCACTAGGCTTTTACCGACCGCAGTTAATAAGAGGGCTAGATTACATATGTATACTTTTCCATGTATGTCAGCAGCATTATTTGCTTCAGAGTTTGGGGGGTTGCCACCAGTTTGAGTTTTGTTTCGTGAGTGAGTTTGCAATTTCGACTTACCCATCCATATTCAACAGTTATTGTTATGGCCTGTATACGTATATATAAAACTAATGATTGATACAGTAAACTACTTACATAACGAGCTGACGGATATTACGAACTCTTTTTTTATTCCCGACCATTTGTTGAAAATATGCTGTATATATGCTTATAAGGAAGTACGGTTATAACGAATTGAAATTAATGGTCCATTTGAGTTCGTTATAACCGTAGTTTACTGTAAACTGAATAACGCCCACGTCAAAGGGTTACGACGACTAGCTACCGACATCACGAAGTCACCGAACAGAACCATCGATGCATTAACCTTCTTTCACCACGAGCATAAGGTGTCTAAGCCAGAATCCCCATGTGGGTTTGAACATAAGTTGAAGTTATATCACAGGGTACAATGCTTAACTGGTGAGGCAAGGCCGAACAGATCCCAATCAGGCCAAATCTTAAATGTGCACCCAGGATCATAGGAAAACTGGCAAAGTTAACAAATGGAACCAAAAACAGCGAATTACGGCGACATCAACGTCTAGTGCACCAGTAAGCAAGGCATGTGTACATGTTAGACAACGACACATATGGACCATGCTCCGTCGTACCTTTCCGCGGGCATTCTGTGGCAACATTTGAAGAACTGCGTTGTCCGTGACCTTGTGGAACATCGAGGCTGCCATCCGCTTTCCGCCCGTCTGAAGGTCAGATCCCAGTGACATGTTAACTCAAACATGAACAAACGGACGTTTCTGAATACATACATAGTTTTCAAAACTGTCAAGTAAGCTGATTTTATTGTTGACTTGAAACAAGTCATAATTTTCCATTATCCTAAGCATGTCATAAGCATTCGTAGGTGATGTACACTCAATCATACTCAAATAGTGTTGACCAGAGAATACATGTAGCCACTAGAATACATTCCTCTTGTCATTCTTAGGGACGGACTCCGTGGTCTAGTTGATAGAACTTCTGCCCGACGGTTCGATCCACGTCATACATAGCCACGTTAAAATATGGTATTTGTTGTTAACCTGCCCGGCGCTCGGAATTGAGGGGATTAAATAAGGACTGTTCGGCTCGGAGTCAGTATACTGTGTGTGGGTGGGGTATCCATGTTAAACTGCAACATGGTCAGTGGACTAGCACTATTACAAGCAGCACAGACACATTCACGTGAACGCATTTCGCTATATAAGTCCAATAATATTAAATCTGATGTTAAACCCAATTTAACCACCATCACTTCCAAGGTATTTATTATTCATTTCAAAATTACGAACTTGTACGAAGAGGAACAGTACGTGTTATGTTCATCATTTATACAGGACCGACCTTGTGTGAGTTGGCTAGAAGGCCGGTTAAAGTAGTTCAAGTTGTACGAACAAGATAGCAATGAACTTTGGACATATTAATTCAACACGTCAACGCCACAAAGGCCACACAGTGATGAATAAGGTTCTGCTATACGATGACGGCCTGTAAACAATCGAGTCTGGGCCAGACAATCCAGTGATCAATATCATGAGCGATGATCCAAGAGGTTGGGGTACGACGCCACGCAAAGTCACCAACCTTTATCACCCATCCACTGAGGTTAGTACGAAGGTGTGAAAACTCACTATCAAAGTCATAAACCTGTTGAGATAAATTAGATAATTGTCGACTCACCACGTGCACCTCCTGGTCATTGTAGGCCCTGAATGTGACCGGGGCCGTGTATTTGGATGTAAAGTGGAGGGTGGAGGGCAGGTCATAGTAACCCTTCATCAGCTCAACATAGATGGCTGAAAAACATCAGAATGAACGTTATTCTAATGACATTTGCAGTTGATATCCGTTTGATCCTTGAGTCGTCTTTCTCATTTTGATATGTGCATTAAAAATTCGGCTCCACATGCCCTTATTCCCCACATGCATAGAATGTGTGAAGCCTATTCTTGTTCACCTCCGACCCCTTTTGGTTTATACCTTTTGCCCACCACGTGCACCTCCTGGTCATTGTAGGCCCTGAAGGTGACCTGGACCTGGTTTATGGATGTAAAGTGGAGGGTTGAGGGTGGGAGGCGGGTCATGGTAACCCTCCATCAGCTCGACATAGATTACCGAATTTTAAAAGAATGACAGTGACAATTACAGTTAATATGAAAATTATCCATATATTCTTTGCGTTTTTGTTATCCTGCTGATTTATACAGAACATTTTCTTTCTCCTCTCTAGGCCCAACATACACGTACAGAACGAGTGAAGCCCATGCTTGTTCACGTCTGACCAGTCTCCGTTTTGTTATAATATAATGTAAATAATCTCTCACATTAACTTTAAACAGCAGAAACAAAACACCTCAAAAAGAATTATTTTGAAACTATGTTCCGGAGGTTCTGGTGGGTTCCATGCACACGGACAGGTACGTATTTTGCGATTTTTCCAGTTAGGTTCTGAAGCTCACATTCGAAACAGGAATTGGTTTGTCCACACAGTGATATGTTAAAGTTTCTACTTACTATTGCCTCTCATTCCAGGCTCATCGATTTTAGACTTGGCCTTGTCCAAGGTCTTCAGAGGATGACCCACATCCAGGCTACAGAAAAAGTATGTGCGTTTATTTATGACATTGTACGCAGGCAATTAATTGCGGAAACATCAAATCACTCGGAAGTGCATATTTTACCCCCTCTGACATTTGTTTCGCGATATTTTGTTTCACCTCTTCCGGCAAAATGCATGAAACAGCATTGGCACAGTGTAAATTGATCTTATCCCCAGCCTATTTACATACCCTGAATTCGAATCCGACCCAGTTGGACTGACATAGACGTGGATAGTTTGGGCCCTACCAACAGCGCTCACCACGCATTGTATTAGCAGCCACAGCCACATTCCTTGTCCAGGCGCAGCACTAAACTGAGGCTATCTTGGCCAAGAACTCTTTGTCAGCGTGTGAAAAGTCACCTGATTTCTGATTAATATTTACTCCTAAAAAAACAACGAACACGTAATAATGGCACGGCAGCAGTGCTGGAGAACTGGCTGTTTTACGTAACGATTCAGACTGGATCGAATACAAAATAGGGCCAGGATGTACCGACTTCGAATTCGCCATTTACGTATTGCCAACAACTGCAGACGGAAGGTCGACCGATTTGGCAGGAGCAGCGTGAACGCGTATGCGGAAAACTCCCACACTCATAGAAAGAAATTTGTCTATGTCAACTTAATGACTCAATAATATTGGAAGAAAATTCTACAACCTCATTTTCCCATTATGAACCATGCTAATGTCATATGTCAAGACTACAATGCTAGACCGCACACAATACGTTTACAGACGCATTCTTGCGGAACCTCCATGAACTAATCCCCCGTGACGTTCCTTATCGCAAAATTTGAACGCAACAGACATTCACTGCCGGAGTTTGTACAGGCACTATATTGCAGGGTTGGTTGACATTTTTCAGTGTGTGATTCATAATCTCATTTCGTCCATGAGCAGAAGGTAGCAAGCAGCACTTGACACTGATGGTGAACCCTAAGTGCACATGATCTTTACCTTTGATATTGAAGTGTAATCTCTTTGTATTGGAAACGTGCGCTATAGTTCAACATTCACCAAGTGCCCAGTTGTGCAGTAAGTGTGTTTCTTCCCACACCAATGATCGGGTTATGATTTTCTTTTTGTTTGGTGGAATGTATACGCCCAGTTATCAAAGCTTTTTATTTCTAAATAACTCATGCATGATAAACAACAAATAACTAGTCTCGACTGTTAAACTATATGTTGATACATGTTCTTAGGGCGCAGTCTTAGAAATTGCTCTTGGTTTGTAGAAGGCCGTGACGGGGAGGTCTCGATGGTACCCACAGTGTTGCCAGAAGTGGTCAGCTCGGGCCAGGCACTCGGTGGAGTCATTATCTGGAATAATTGAAAACGTCATTCTCCAAATTATATTGTTTTGTGGCTTTTTAACCAAATAAAAAGGTTTTGAAGAGTGATTTGGTTTTGTTTGTTGTTTAACGCCGCACTCAGCAATATTCCAGCTATATGACCGCGGTCTGTAAATAATCGATTCTGGACCAGACAATCCAGTGATTAATATCATGATCATCGATCCACGCTATTGGGATCGATGACATGCATCAACCAAGTCAGCGAGCCTGACCACCGATCCCGTAATTAGTCGCCTTTTAAGACAAGCATAGGCACCTTTCACGGCACGCATGGGTTGCTGAAGACCTTTTCTACCCCGGAATCTCCACGGGTCTTTTGAGTGAGTGAGTTGGGGTTTACACCGCTGTTAATAGTATTCACGGAGTGTCAGCTTAATGTGGGAGGAAAGCCCGAAGTGATGCATGTCTCAGTCGTTTACCACTTCGATGAAACCCACGAGCACGGTATGGTGCTGACGAACATAGAAACATAATCGGGGCGAACCGGGATTTGAACCCACAATCATAGGTTTCTGGCGTGCCCAAGGGACGCAACTCTGCACAGCGAATCGCGGCGCCTCAGACGACTAGGCCACCCGTGTGAAGCTATGACAGGAGTGAATTCAACAGTGAATCTGTGGAGTGGGTATTGGTGAGCAACACGATCCGAAAGACAATACAAAGACAAAGGTGATCGGAAAAGAGCGTAAAATGAAAACACACGTGATTTGGAAATTCAGAGAAAAGTGGTGAAAAAACAGAGAAGCTCGTACACTGTGGCTACAGTCACGCCAAACCAACGTGGCGGACATACAAGGACAATTCAAATTAAAACAACGGTAGCGAAGACGTCAAAGTATGTTCTCTCTGCTTATAAAGGAAATGACTCTCACGGGATCAGATCTTAATCAGAAGAAAACTAAGCTGTAAAGATAATACATTTGATAACAGATGAGAAAGTCAATATAGAGATTATTTCTGTTCATGAGGAAACTGACTCTAAGCTCGAAGCATTTGAGAGAAAAATACAAGACATTCAAAAGTATACTCAAATGTTATAAATGGGAAACCGGCGGCAAATTCTGTTGAAAGACTTGTTGCAGTACAGAACTGACGAGGATACTGATTCTGGTGTGACAGAGAACAAAGTGGTGGCGTTGTTACGTGACGGTCTGACGCTACGCGATGTTAACATCAACAAGGTTGACAGGAAGAGGCAGAGAGGTAATAACCAAGCTTTAGTCATAGCAACTATGCACTCTTTGGAAGCAAAAACTGATCGACACTCAAAGACTGAACACTGCTCAACACTAGCAGCAACCTCAGAACATTGATCTGAGAAATAGTGAAAGACAACCTTTACCCAGTTAACAGTAGATCATACATCTCAAGCGCATCGACAAAACACCCGAATTGTGTCCGGCTTGGTTTATGGAATATTTGCGGGTGGTCTCTAAAAGATGTAAACTGTAAATTCAGTTTAGGGTTGGTTGGTTGGTTGGTTGGTTGTTTAATGCCGCACTCAGCAATATTCCAGCTATATGACGGCGATCGGTAAATAATCGAGTCTGGACCAGACAATCCAGTGATTGATATCATGAGCATCGATCCACGCAATTGGGATCGATGCCATGTATCAACCAAGTCACCGAGCCTGACCACCCGATCCCGTTAGTCGCCATTTACGACACGCATAGTCGCCTTTTACGCCAAGCATGGGTTGCTGAAGACCTTTTAGCTCAAAATGGTAAATACGTCCAAAATATTTTACATTTTATGGTGTTTTCTTGCGTATTGGTATCGGTGGTTATCAGCGTTCGTGTGGCTACATTCTCAGTTCTTTTGATTGTGCTTATCGTTATCTGGGAATATTTGGACATGCACTTGAATGTAAAAGAGCTTTGAAAGTCCTCTCGTAGAACGTTGTCTGCTCTGTACGCTAAGTATATATATGTTGTGGTATGTCATATGATGTTTTTACGATGTTGTATAAATCGCTGGTTGAACCAGCTTTGTTTAATTGTGTCAGTATATTGGGCGTGCTTATTTTTAAAGAAGTTGAAGTTGTGCAGAATAAGACCGCCAGAATGTTTATTGGTTTATGTAAATATGCACCTGTTGCAAGTGCAAGGGATATGGGATGGTGTTCAGCTTCGGTAACTCCGACACATTAGCAAACATTTTACTACTACTGCATTACCTGTATCTAGGTTGGTAGCTCCCCAGGCGTCGTAGAAGAAGCCAGTCAGTTTGTTGTCAGAGGGACAGGTCTTTATTTTGATCCAACACCCGCCTCCAGCATGTCTTGTGGCACCTTTGAGTAAAATGATTATACTGTAAATATAGTTTTTTTCAAGATTATTACATAACGATTCAATAGCTGTCATCGATCAATATAAGGTTGATACATTACGTCATAGCTGTCATAGAGTAAATAAAAGGTTTTTACATAACGATACCATAAATGTCATAAGTAAATATTAAGATGGTACATAACGATTTCGTAGTTGTCATAAAGCATGAAATAAGGTTATTACATTACGATACAATAACCGTCATACAGTCAATATTAGGTTGTTACATAACGATGTCATAGCTGTCAAACTGGTACATGACTATATCTAGTTGTCATAAAGCAAATATTGAGGTTATTACATTACGATTTCTAAGCTGCCATACAATAACATGCACCCATTGCCCTGATGGGTAATATGTTTGTGGAAATACCAGCAGGTCTACGGTTGATCAGTAGCTGTACCCATAAATAGAAGACGACGAACTACGTTGTATTGAGTTGCGTCCCTTAACCTTGTCGGGATCCTCTGATCGTGGATTCTAATCACAGGTTCGCCTCAGTATACTTACCAATCGTCATACTTACCAATCGTCATAGGTTTCTCTGTTCCTTTGCCCTGTCGACCATCCTTCCCACAATAATATGATCCGTCGTTGTACGACTGAAATTCTGTTCAACGCGGTGCCAAACTCACTCAATCATTTACGCGATGTATTCACAGACGTACCTGTTGGGCCATAGATGCTTGTGTAGGGATGAGCAGGATCGGACCCACACCATGTCCATTGGCCATCAGCTCTCGTCAAACACTTCTCCTCGTCTGTGAGTCCCCCGTGGGTCTCCCCGTAGGCATCTACCTCCAGCCTGCCGGGATGGGCACCGCCATGACTTGGACACCCGTAGTCGGCGAAATAGCAGTGTTTCCCAGCAATGGTCATAGCGCCTGACACACAATAATCATGTTCATATCAGACACTTTTTTTTAAGTTTCCACAAACAAATAACCAAAAAACATCAAATTTATATTGACTAAGCCATGTGATATTATTTTGTGATCTATGGGGCTTCTGGGGTAGATAGGGGGCACGGGTGGCAGAGTTGCGTCCCTTGGGCACGCCAGAAACCTATGATTGTTGGTTCGAATCCCAGTTCGCCCCGATTATGTTCTAGGTTTGTCAGCACCATACCCGTGCTCGTGGGTTTCACCGAAGTGGTAAACGTCTGAGACCTGCATCACTTCGGGCTTTCGCCGTGATATAACTCAAATACTGTTAAAAGCGGCGTTTAACCAAACTCACTCACTCAATCACTCACTCTGGGGTAGACGTGTATTTGGTGACGAAATGAGACACCAGAGCTCTAATGTTTCATATCTAGAGCATGCCTGTAGACACTGTTATTAGTTCCCTGATGGGCATAAAGCATATTCTGCCACAGTGATAACAGCCAACCTGTAGGTCCGAAGACTGCAGTGACAGTTTCCTTGTCGGGGGAGCCACAGTACCGCCACTCCTTTGCTGCCCGCTGCAGACAGTTCTCCTCCTTCACCCCCGCCTGCTCATGCTGCTCCCCCCACACGTCCCTCTGTGTGCCACTGACGGGGTGGGGCGGGCACCCGGAGATGATCAACCAACAACCTGAATAGATGGAGCTCTTTGATTGACATTCTTACCTGTTGTGTGTGTGTGTCACCAAAATTCACACACATACCACTTAACTGTATAACCGTCTGTTGTTCTATTCGCGTTTTACTGGTGGGAGTGGAGGGCACGCGGATTAGATTAGCCAACACCCATTGACACACGATTAGAATTATTAGATACACTTGCACTGAATTGGACGGGAATACACTTTTACATACACGGTAGTCAAGGTTAAAAACATCCTCACCATTAATCGTAACAGGTACATCTGTTAACACACATTCTGTATGACCAACATAAATGTACTAGAATTAGAAGAAGTATTACTAATCAGTGGAAATAGTTTTCATTGCTTTACTTTCTTTTTTCTTTTATCATATGGTGAGGTGAGATGAAATGGGGTTTAACGTCGCGTCCAAGATTATTGCACTTATATAGCGACGTGCATGTACGTGTGTGTGGCTGCTTGTACTAGTCCGGACTGATGCCGATTAATAGTGCTAGCACACTGAGATACCATGCCGCAGTTTTACATGAATACCCCACTCAGACACAGTATACTGACTCCGAGCCGACCAGTCCTTGTTTTAGTCCCTTAATGCCGAGCGCCAGATAGGGTAACAACAAGTACCATCTTTTAACGTCTTTTGGTATGATGCTGCCGGGGATCGAACCCTGGACCTTCCGCTCTCCGGGCGGACGCTCTACCACTAGACCATGGAGGCGGTCAATTATCATATGGAATACGGAGGTGTTGTTGTGATTAAGATGCATTTATTTAAATGTTGAGATTGTCACCAAACAGTTATATTGGTCCAAAGAAATACCTTGTTTTGGAATGCTCGGGTAGAGTGTGTTTGGACCAGAGCCATCTGAGATGTATGGCGTCTGTGGTGTCTTCGTTGCTGGAGCGATGGTACCTGAACATGCAGCAGGTTGAGCTGGAGATTTTTGAGTTGGTCTGGCTGGAAAGAATGAGTGGGCGAATGTTGTTTAATGCCACAATTGTTATGAAAAGTCCAGACGTACCTCCGTGGCCTGTAAATATTCGAGTCTGGACCAGACACGCCAGTGACTGAAACAATGTTAACTATGTACGCCATCGGTGTACGATGACAAGCAATTGGCCAAGTCTCACAGTCAGAGCACCGGATCTATTTTAAAACGAAACTCTTGCAACAGCCATAAATTACAAGAGACACGTTTTACCTGTGCCAAAGGGCCGTGAAACATAACCCTGGCTTTAATTAATTTATGGTTCATCTACGTATGGATAAAACAAATATTTCGCTTCATTGGATAAATAAAATATTGAAAGCTTGCTATACATTTTTACAATAAATACAACAATATTCTTTGTGAATATCGGGGGCGCGGGTGCCCGTCTAAGGGACCGCGATTCGCCAGAAACCTATGATTGCGTGTTCGAATCCCGGTCCTCCCTGATTATGTTTCTAGGTTTGTCAGCACCATACCCGTACTCGTTGGTTTCACCGAAGTGGTAAACGTCTGAGACCTGCATCACTTCGGGCTTTCTCCCATATTAAGCTGACACGCCGCGATATAACTGGAATACTGTTAAAAAGGGGCGTTAAATCCAACTCACTCACTGAATGAAATAACGTGACATAATACTAAGAAGAGGCGTTATCTCTATTATATCCTCACTTGAAATGCACATTTCTACTGAGTCCTATATTCACTTCAGGGCAAATCCGTTACATGGTGACTTTTATTATCCTCTGACCTATGGAGTTAAGCATAATCCGACACAATACAAATAACGTGTGACAAATGATACCATAAAATACATTGGTATAAATAAACTGACGCTGGTTCAAGTAGCTTGGTCCTGTGAAGTAACGTGGTCCCACATGGTTTACATCGGGGGGCTGGGGAAAATTGATAGCGTTCGCCCACTCTTGCGCATGACACCTGACCCGGAAATCAGCATCATCACGTGACCAGAAGTCAGTTGGTGAAATCGACTGTGAAGTAAAATTGAATGAGCATTTCCTGTTTGATATATTACTGTAATTATACTCAACAAGACACTTCACCTAAAGAATGCAAACTTTTATGTATTAGGATTCACAGAGAACATAAATAACTACATGAACATTTAATGTGGTATGAATGCAGGGACAGGTGACAGTTGAAGGTAAAAAATTCAAAAACGTAAATTCGTGTGATTTCAGTGAGTTTCAATGCAAGCTAAACATCTTTGTCACACGAAATCAACCAAACGCTGGAGACCTGTTGACTGTCATGTTCGATCCGAACAAATGAGTCTCCAAGCGCCCGATGATCTTCTGACGCTCTTGTCAGACTTTCAAGACGTTGATCTATTTCATCACACACATGTGATACAGGAGAAAGATCTGGAGGTCGACCAAGCCAGGGCAACACATTCACATTTTTCTTTATAAGATATTGCTGGACAATACGTGCCATATGTGGTCTGGCGTTGTCGTGTTGAAAAGTCAAACCCCTGGAACTGAAGAACGGGATGACAACCGGAAAAGATTCCGGGGTAGAATAGGTCTTCAGCAACCCATACTTGCCGTAAAAGGCGACTATGCTTGTTGTAAAAGGCGACTAACGTGATCGGGTGGTCAGGCTCGCTGACTTGGTTTATACATGTCATCGATCCCAATTGCGTGGATCGAGGCTCATGCTGTCATTCACTGGATAGTCTGGTCCAGACTCGATTATTTACAGACCGCCGTCATATAGCTGGAATATTGCTGAATGCAGCGTTAAACAACAACCAACCAACCGGAAAACGCCCTCTTTGCGATTCCACCGAGCGTTCAAGTTTTACACAGTCAAACGAGTCCTCTGTGGTGCTGTTATCTCACCCCAAACAATAATGCTGTCTCCGACATACCGATCTACTTCAATGACAGTATTGACGAAAACGGAACTAGTCTGTGACCATTACATTTATCCACTGCTTTGCAACCTCTCATAAAATTACCCGCAAAAAGGGAAAAATAGGCGTCACACTAACTTGTGTTTCTGAGTATACATACGTATTGACGTTTTCTCTCTCAAATGGTCATGCATTATATTACCTTATGGTTATTCCTCACGTAGAAGTACTCTGTTTTTTCTATACCAGCTTGGCTGTAATATATGCTTGGGATGCCATGAGTGTTGAAAAATATATTATTTGAGATTTCGTTGCCTGAAACATAATTGTGAATGCAATGATATGTATCGTCTTTAATGGTTTAAAAAATATAGGTATATTGATACATAATAGTGTTTCAAGGTATGTAATATTGTGAGTGTAATAGTTCATAAGGATACCCACTGACTGCCTGAAAACTAATAAGTATGACTTGAGAGTTGTGTACATATGTTCTCCTGTGATGGATAATTGTTCTGAAATAATATTTAGCCTGTAAGCAGCAATACATAAGTAATGTCGGGGGACCTCATTACTGTTACCTTTACAGTCCTTATGTGTGAACAAAACACATCATTTAGTTCTGTTTCTTTATGAATATGAATCGGAATGTCTGCTCGGATTGGCTAAGTGAAATCAAGGTTATTTAGCCTAGTGGTCAAGTTTTTTTTATCAGGGTTACATCTAGTGCCTCGGTAAAGCTTTCAAAACGTTTTATGGTCGACATGTGGTGGTCACTTGACGAAACAGTGACAAACCGTATGTTCGATGCAGTTCCCCATTTGGCGTGTACCATATGTTCCCGTGTGAACAGTTGACTTGCCTTTGCAAGTGTTTGTGTTGTTTGGGATGGTGCCACCGGTGGGGATGGATATGCTCACCCTTTCCCGAACACTTGGCATCATTTTGATTTGACAGTGATTCATAAGGACATGCTAATGGAACAGTCTCAATCGTGAAATCGACTCTTTCTTGCAGATACGAAAATGGCTTGTTTCTTTTATCATGAATAAAAGACACAAAACCATTTCCATAATATATGAAATCTCTAATGAAAGTAGCAACCCTGGTACAGATGCGGCCACATCAGCATGTGTGCTTAGCATCTCTATCAAAAAGTGATGATGCCAGATGCCATATCATACTCCACCGGTGGCACCCATCACAAACACATTCAAAGGCAAGTAAAATGTTTATCAATAAGGTATCAGGTTATCAACTCCATTGTGCACCTATATGTTATCAAAATTATAATTACCAGATAATATTTGAAGAAACGCTTATTTTAATGGATCATTTATGCACACACTCTGATATACCTCTTGGTTCCCCAGGGTTGGTGATGTTTGCCAATTTAGGGTATCTGCTGGTCCACAGGGGGTTAGTGTACGGCATAGCCTGGGATGAAATATTTTGCATTGTTAGATAAAATAAGGGAAGAGTATGCTACATATATTAGTACAGTAAACTACGGTTATAACGAACTCAAAGGGACTGCTAATTTTAGTTCGTTATAACCGTAGTTCGTTATAAGCATATATACAGCATAACTACAGCAAATAGTCGGGACCAAAAAGTAAGTTCGTTATATCCGTCAGTTCGTTATAAGCGTGTTCGTTATAACCGTAGTTTACTGTAGTACTATGTTAATCCAACTCCAGGTGAAACACACATACATGAAGGGAATGGAAACACAACCATGTATCCTTAGTCGTACGCAAGTAACGATGTAAATACGTTATAACATAGGTTCGTGCATAATGCCGATTTGAGGGCTGTCGTGTATATCTATAAAGGAAAGACGAAACACAGGACAATCATTACATTCCAACAATATGACAAACACCCGTGTCGTAGTGACCTCAATTTGTCATCCACAACATTCTTCCACAGGAGATATTGCTTGGGTGAGATCAAGCGATATCTACTAGGATAAGTAATTGCAGACGTCATTGGTTACGATGATGTCACAAACGAACAACATCACCAATCCTTCTGCTTCTGAGGATATTAAATCGTACTTTTTACACTCAAGACACTGGTTATTATTGTTTTCAAACTAAAAACATTGGAAGAGTGACTTGGATGATAAATAGAATCTCAACCTCGTCGATAGACGCTTCAAAAATTGTTTCGACTCGTGTAACTATATTTGACATCATAAGACATTCGCGTGTATGGTGTAAGCGCCTCAAAGGTAAAGTTTTATCAAAATTGACCTTGAGTGTGGATAGAGCATGTTCTCAGATGAAGGTTATTTTTTTCATTTTTATCTATGTTGTCCTCTGTATGTTGAACACAAATATTGTTGTTGCAAAGCTTGTCAATATTATTATTGTCGGTAAATTGACATATTTGACCTCCACAAAATAAAATTTAAACGTGTCTATCATTTAAAATAAATCTGAAAACAAAACATCGAATATTATATTAGGACATGTATCCATGAATAGGTAAATCCGTTAGGTAACGTTAATCCTGCTGTATCTTGATTTGCCTGCACAATTTGGATTAGTAACAATTTCTATTACAGAATACGGACACACAAACTTGTTCTGAAGATACAAAATAATGCATGTGACGTAATTGAGAACTATCACACTTGAAGAACTACAATTTACCTTGAGATGCTGCATCAGTTCTGCTTCGCTGGAATGGTGTAGTCCTCTGCCATCAACCTGTATGGCCTCGGCAGTGGCATTGTAGAAGACGTTGTAACGGATGAGGTTGTCACGGCCACCGCCGATGTTGGCGTGTACCTCGTTCTATGGACGTTAACGTAAATTGATATAATTATCACATACAACTTATGGTAAGGATCAGCGTATATTCATTTCTTATCAGCGTACAAAATCTCTGACTGTTCTAATAATGCCGTTACTTTATCCACAGGACTTACATCGCAGAAGACGTTGTGTTCAATGTTGACGCTGGAGTACTCGTCGTCCAGCATAATGCCTCGGACTTGGGCCCCGGGGAAGTATCTCAGTGTATGGTGGATGTGGTTGTAGCGGATGACGTTGCCTCGCTGATAGGTCAATGAAAAGGAGGATTTCAGATGCGCTGTGCAGTTTCCGTGTACCCTTTGTGACTTTTTCAGTGAATAAATCTTTGTTTTTGTCAATGTTCAGACATTTAATCGGATCTGAGTATCGCTAGCACTATCACATTAGGGTTAAGATAATACCTCTTTGAATTAAAGGGCATTCTCTTCCATGTGTTATGCCCAGATCTTATTAAAATTAAATGTAGGTTTACATGGCTTCTGAAAACGTTCTGGCCATATCGATCAATACTTGGTTTATAGCCAAGCCCATGTGACAGATCAATTCGAGGTCATCAATTTGATGATCCCACAGACCATGGTGCAAGGAACATGAGATGTTATCGGATTCGACTTCTGAAGAAGGATATCACACATACCATGGTCCAGTCTCTCCCGGCGTGTATTGCTCCACAGTCGCTGGAGTTGGCACAAAGATGATGCACGTGGTTGTACTCTATCAAGTGATCATTGCCCTACAAACGAAAATAATGCAACAAAACGCGATGTATTGGATGACTCAACCCTCAACATGGTGAATCGAGTTTGTAAGACAACGCACCAGGCAAATAAAATTGTATATCTTTTTGTGCACAACTATCTAAATAGAGGAAATTTTTTTTACCGCCCATCGGATGCCCGTGTACTGGCCGTCATGGATGTGGTTGTAGCGCATGGCTATTCCCACACCCTCGGGGCTGATGGCGTTGTTACCGACGGCCCCCACACGTGCGTACTGCCAGATGTGGTTGTCTTCTATCACGTTACCAGATGTCGATAGGGTTTTCCGATCACCACCTGTTTCAAATAATATTAGACATGATTTACGGCCGCTTTCAACAATTGTTCATTGCGGTTATATCCTGTGAGAAGAGATGAAACGGGTTAAATGGGTTTCGCGTTCAAGATTGTTGCACTTTAATAACCATGTGCATTGGCTTCCTTTATCCCTAAATGTTGAACGCCAGGCAGAGTAACAAGTACCATTTTAGACTTTTTTGGAATGACGCGGTCGAACCACCGACCTTCCGACCTTCGGTCAGGCGCTCTTTCTGCTAAATATAAACCACCGAGGCGGCCTCGTTATGTTGTGTGTAAGGTTAATGCTATGGGAACATATAGGGTAGTGATATTGGCCAGGCCAAGATTAAAACAGATGATCAGCAGATCAACATACGTGTACATTTTATGGTGTTGCTGTAAAAAGAAGTTCTCGTCAGATGGTAGGCCTTTCCGTCTCTTAACCTGTCTCTCCTTTACCAAATACAGAATCACAATGAGTTCCTCCATAAACTAACAAGAGCATTTGGTGTATTGGCATGCATATAGTGCATTAGAAACAATTGCTTCTAGATTATTTAGTTTAATGAAATACGAAGAACACAATAAATGTATCAATCCATTTTTGGTAAAGTGTCGAAATAAAACAAAAACGTGGCAGCACAGACAGGAGCATCCCACTTACCTGTGATTGCAATTCCTCCACAGGTGTGATGTATCTCACACCTGGACACAGTCACAGACCGACAGTCACCAGAACAATGGATTCCGTAACCACCTGAAGCACAGTTCGTTTTTCGATGTACTCATGGTTCAAGACTAAAGTGCCAAAGTTGACATTCTAGTCTATTGATGTAGTTCAAGAAAGCCATGGAATCGCTTACCACGTGGTGTCAATGGTCGTTTGAACATTACTTTAATATCTCATCACTGAAGATACCCGGGGTAGAATAGGTCTTCAGCAAACATGCTAACCGTACATGGTGACGTAAAAGGCGACTATGCTTGCCGTAAGAGGCGACTAACGGGATCAGGTGGTCAGGCTCGCTGACGGGCTTGATGCATGTCATGGTATCCCAATGGCGTGGGTCGTTGCTCATGATGTCAATCACTGGATTGTTTGGTCCAAACTAGTTTATTTACAGACCGCCGCCATACAGCCTGAATATTGCTGAGTGTGGCGTTAAACATCAAACAAACAAACAACACCACTGAAGATGGAATCGTTGGCAGCATGAAAACAGTGCACATTTTCCTTATCCAGCGCTCTTGCTCTGGCAAGTACCGTAAGTAGATATAAACGGGCAAAAGAAAGTATACACCCATGTTTGATGGTGGCTAAAAATGAAATAAAGAAGAAATGGTTTATTCGAAGGTATTTGATACGGGTATCATAGTTGTGTTTCGGACCTTGAGTTGTCAGCCTACAAACGTTTTCATAACGTTTCATATTTTTGGTCAAATCCAGTTTTTAAGTGTATACTTTCATTTGCTCGGCAGTAATTAAGAAACAATATCCCCAAGCTGTAGGGGGCACGGGTGGCCCAGTCGTCTAAGGCGCCGCGATTCGCTGTGCTGAGTTGCGTCCCATGGACACGCCAGAAACCTATGATTGTGTGTTCGAATCCCGGTTCGCCCCGATTATGTTTCTAGGTTTGTCGGCACCATACCCGTGCTCGTGGGTTTCACCGAAGTGGTAAACGTCTGAGACCTGCATCACTTCGGGCTTTCCTCCCACACTAAGCTGACACGCCGTGATATAACTGGAATACTGTTAAACCCAACTCACTCACTATCTCGAGCTGTAAATGTAAACAGGGTCTACCTGTATTTTTTATCTCCATATTGATGAAGTGAATATTGTGTCCATGGTTCAGATCAAATCCATACCGCCTACATGCCTCCAGGGTAAAGCCTTGGAATTGAAGATTGTTCACCTCAAAATCTGTTCTGTAACACATCACACGCATGTACATGCGAAGTAAATCAAAGCAAACATATTTACACAGGAACACGGATCAATATGTATTCACAAGCCTCTTCGGTAATACTGTCATGCCACTTTATTGAATGTTCAAAAACTACCTGACAAAATAATGATGATGTTAATTTTTCTCAAACAAAGTGATAATTAATGGCAAGTGCGTATACTGAAAGTAAATGCCGAGTCACGGGTGAAGGAAATCAGCACGCGATCATGGTAAAACATGTTTTCATCCTAAAGCATGAAATGCTCGTGCAGAAATGGTGTATAAATGCGATAATGTGATAGCTTAGAAACACACTTGATGAAAGCAGACCAATAAAATGTCTAGACTGATAACGGAACAGGAAGAGCGAGCCATCCTTATGGTTGAGATGGAGGCACAACAGGTCTAAATTGCAAGGGTTGGGTATACGCCATTGACGGTAGCCTGGCTTATGCAACGATACAGACAGACAGGGGAGGAGGACATAGGACAGGCCGAGAACAGGCGGTCCCTCGGTCACAACAGCACGGGGAGACCGCTAGATACGGTTCATTCACTTGCGAAAGAGATTCGTTACGGCGACGTATACGTCAGCAACAGCGTTGGGACATCGTCAAGCTCCTCGCAGCGATAGCCCGTTCGCGGAGCTCTCTATACTATCGCTGCCACCAGTCAAAACTCCCCACTGTCATAGGGGGTCCCAACCATGCTTGGAGTTGAACTCGCAACCGAATGACCGTCATGTTTACAAACAAATGACGACTGTCGTGGCGCCGAATACACTTAACCCTGCTAAATTACTTTCTTTGTTTGTCAATTTGAATTAGTATTTCACTAAAACTATCATGTTATTGATATAGTAAGAACGTAAGGGAGAGGTTTGTTGATATTCCGTTAGTCTGCAATCTCAAACCAATCGGATTATACAAACAACAAAGTAAATTCATCTGGAAAACATGGTCAGTCGTAAAACTTTTCAAAATTCACTTTGATGGCATTCCCAAAGACATAAAAAAAAGTACGAACGTTACTACATTCGGGGTTAGAGGCCAAATTTCAAGATTCTTGTAATGGCCGCGCCCACACTGGTGGCAGCGATGTTACCGATAGTGTAACGAAGGTGTCACGCGCTGGGAAGGAGCTTGGGACATAGCATGAGTTAACGTACAGTATTATGAAGACTAGGTGCTGGAGGAATCAGAGTGAGTGAGTGAGTGAGTGAGTTTGGTTTTACGCCGCTTTAAGCAATATTCCATCAATAGCACGGCGGGGGACACCAGAAATGGGCTTCACACATTGTACCCATGTCGGTAATCGAATCCGGGTCTTCGACGTGACGAGAGAAAGCTTTCACCACTAGGCTACCCGACCGCCCCTGGAGGAATCAGAGCTTATCGTACCTTCCGACGAATGCCATTGACCGGGCAACATCGGCTCCTAAGACCACTACATGCACAGGCGAGACAAGTTTGACGATGGCAAGCTAGAAAATTGGCGTCGAGTGCTCTTTTCCGACAAGGATCGTTACAACTTGTTTCGAAATGACGCAGAGAACAATTTCTTTTGTCGGGAAAAAATCTATTATATAATTATATACTTTCTAATAAAACAAAAGATCCTGGATATCATATCCATTCACCCTGGCTGCCAGCTGTTTCATAACTTACATACTCAAACCTGGCCAGGAATAAGAACTGTGTTGGCATGCCGTTCTATTCTTAAATTATTATTAGCAAACAGGTTGCTTCACACGACAAAGGTTTTCAAAGACGTAACACAATAAGTAGAACACTGGTTCACTTCACACAGTCTGTGGCCATAGAGGCGTAGATGACATCGGTGTCGGACAGGGTGCCGTGCGGTGTATTGGGCCACACATACAGGATGCCAGTAGACCGGTCCAGGTAGAATTCTCCCTGAAGTAGAGTGAGTGAGTGAGTTGGTTTAACGCCGCTTTTAACAGTATTCCAGTTATATCGCGGCGTGTCAGCTTAATGTGGGAGGAAAGCCCGAAGTGATGCAGGTCTCAGACGTTTACCATTTCGGTGAAACCCACGAGCACGGGTATGGTGCTGACAAACCTAGAAACATAATCGGGGCGAACCGGGATTCGAACCAACAATCATAGGTTTCTGGCGTGCCCAAGGGACGCAACTCTGCACAGCGAATCACGGCGCCTTAGACGACTGGGCCACCCGTGCCCCCCCCTGAAGTAGACATCATGAGGAACTGTTGTGTTGTTCAACTGACAACCCTATTTGTCATTTCTGACACAGTTCAACATAAATTTAAATTAAAAGAGACAAAAATCATTTCCATTACGATAAGAAATATCTACTACAAGCAGAGACTTTTGTACGATGTCACCAGCAGGTGTCTATGAATAATAATCAAGTAGTTACACACGAAAAGGTGAGCGTATCATGTCCGACACAAACACATGCACAGGCAGGCCAATTGTTCACCTAAAAACACGGGAATATGTGGTACAAGTAAATAATTGTAAATTGCCTCGGACATCATATTTGATACTGTGTGTCAGATTTGGAAATGCCCTCCACATGTCTACCATTAATCGTACACATGTGCATACCAGGTACCAACATCACAATCAACGTCTGGACACTGTCGTTGTATTAAGTTTCAGTCTCACCGGCTGATCCAGTTCCGACAACATGTTGAAGACCCTGAAGTAGCCTCCCTGGTTAGAGTATCCTTGAAGGTGAGCATCATTGTAATGACCTGGAATAGTGAACTCTGCTGAATCAGATCCTTACACGCAACATCAATGGCGATATAGTTGCCAATTACATTAAGTATTGTTTTTTAATAATCTAATCTTAATTTGTTTTGGGCGCCAGATGCGTTATTGTGAAATGTTATTATTAAATCAATAGCCAGGATATATGAAGACTCCTAAATTAATATCAATAGAACAGCTAGTGTAATATATAGTCTGTTGATATGTGTGGGTAATATGATGTATTAACTATAGCATATATATTAGCACTGATATGTTTGTTTAACGCCGCGCTTAGCAATATTCCAGTTATATGACAGCAGTCTGTGAATACTCTGAACCGAACAATCCAGTGATCGACATCATTACCATCGATCTACGCAATTGGTATATGACGACATGTGTGAACTTATTTAAGTAGCCATACCACCCGATCCCGTTACTGGTCTCTTTCGACTAGCATGGGCCGCTGAAGACCAATTCTAACCCATATATTGACGAGTCTTTTATATAATCAAGTCAATATTTAAGGACCATGCAATTTACGTCAATAAAGACGTTAACATTGTCTCATGGCTGTTCAATCGAATACACCATAGCTTAAAAATGTTTACTGCTCTTCACGTTGGTATATCAATGTGATGTCATTGCATGTATTTTCACAGACATTTCTATGATTATATACCCGTACCAAGTCTGAGGCCATATCGATTTTTGGTCGCCAAGGTGATTTGATGTTTATGCGGATCAATTTTCGCTATTTTGACAGCGTCATCAGCCCAGCTCCAGTACCTAACAAGTGAAATGATGAAATTTAATTGCGTCTATGCATAGTGTAACGGTACATGATTAAAATATTTTGGATTGATAATTGTTTAACTTATATGCTCCCTCTGATATACATTTATCAGTATGTGACAGAAATTCTTGGCAGTTTGAGATACTAGTATATACACAAAACGTAAAGCCCTACCAGTATCCAATGGCCCAAGGTTCCTTCTCATGTATCCACCGTGCATCCTCACTGGAGCCGTGTGTGAAGGTTGTGGTGTATCTGCTGCTTACAGCAGACACGTCTATGTACCCCTAAACAGTCATCATGGCATATATTGTATATTTGTCACGCGTTGGTCAATAAGAGTGAGTGAGTGAGTTGGGTTTAACGCCGCTTTTAACAGTATTCCAGTTACATCGCGGCGTGTCAGCTTAATGTAGGAGGAAAGCCCGAAGTGATGCAGATCTCAGACGTTTACCACTTCGGTGAAACCCACGAGCACGAGCATTGAGAGAATGCCCCCTTCTCGGATCTTGGTTCGATCCAAACCGATAGCATATAACATATTAACGGAAACGTAACTTTGCTCATATAAAGTTTGATAAAAATAAATTTGTTCTGATATTAAACTGTAAATAATGAATCCTTCAATGCATATTCAATACTTATCGAGACATATCCTCTATCTAAAGGTCGTGATTCACAATTTGCATATATATGTTAATACATGGCGCATACTTTGGATGTTTTCGTGTTTGTTGGGAGCAGGATACTCATACACGTGGTTTGTGAATGTGAACAGCATACACTTATTTGTAGCTGTCCGGTGCACATAAAACACGTGCTTTTAACGGTCAGCAATGCCACGACTTGGTGGAAATCAACGTCAGACACATCTAGCTTGGTGTAGACATCATCTGAGGTTTAGTAGACAGGATTGGGACAGTATACTTTTCACAGATTAGTCCAGGTTTCAATTAGACATCTCTGGTGGTCGTGCAATGGTCTACATGCGTCCAATAGAACGCTTTAGCGAGGCTGGTTTTACTCTACGTCGTCATCTTGGGGGTGGAAGTGCAATTGTGTGGGGCGACATCGCAAGGGAGAATACAACTCTTCATTCTTAATGGCAATTTGAATGGCGTACGCTGCCTGGGTGACATCGTTCAATATCATGTTCTACCCTTTGTGCAAATGCACGGAAGTAACGTCACGTTGCAACGGGTTATTCCAGCCTGTATGTTACACGTGTTGTAACAGGGTTTTTGAGGCAGCACAACAGTGCTGTACTGTCAGGGTCGATGTTTCTCCAGACGTCTTCCCCATAGAACATGTCTGAGATGAGAAGGAACGACGCCTAGGACAGGACCAGCAACAGCTGGTATCGTTAGCCCAGTTGGGTCAATCTTTAATTAACATTTGGCACAACACCCCCAGGCTGTTTTCAGTCATTTTGGTGGCTTCAAAGCACCGCCGCTGCCTCGTCTGTATCAACGCAAACACCCGAAATTAACATTGTTAATTGAATTTTTAAACCACACCCCTTTAAGGCCTCCTATCACCATGTATGGTTTTCATCAATGAACCTGTTATGGTAAATCATTGATCAGGCGAATGTCTAAGTATTATGTCGTTATTCTCAATAACATAACGTTACATTATAACACCACATTTTATGAAGCACAGTTACCTTTTTTCCGCTAGTATATGATAAAAAAAGAAATTCCTAATGTCAAAACAACGCATTCATCTTTAAGATAAGTATTAGTTTCAGTCTCAATTAACAGGAAGAATTACTCGGATAAGCTTGACTCATGTTGGTATCTGACCACACACAAAATTGTTTGTTCGGCGTTACTGATGAATTGACGAACAACTCGACATGAAATACGGATAAAGTGATGGTGACCTTTCGAACTAAAAGGAGATAAGGCCTACTTCATTAGGGTATCTGGCCAGACGTGTTGGGTTCCCGTTGATAAACAGCTCCAGCCATGAAATCTTGGTCGTGTAGAAACCAAAGCGCGTGATTTTGCCATAGTCAGATATTCCAGCGGCCGAGAGATGGACTTGCAGAACCTGGGAATGAAGTCAGTGCTGTGCTGTCAGTTGTCTTGCTTGTGCTCTCGTGCCATAAAGAAAGTTCAATTATGTACACATTTAAGAGTGAGTGAGTTGGGTTTAACGCCGCTTTTAAAGTATTCCAGTTATATCACGGCTTGTTAGCTTAATATCAGAGGAAAGCCCAAAGTGATGCAGGTCTCAGACGTTTACCACTTCGGTGAAATCCACGAGCACGGGTATGGTGCTGACAAATCCAGAAACATTAGTCGGGGCATATGAACAAGGGATATAGTTCTATGGATTTAAATAAAGAATTTCTATATCCATAGGATTATGTCCCTTGTTCAACTATACATTGCATAGAATGACATTTGTTGATAAATTATTGTGAAACGTAATATGGAAAATACCGATAAAGAGGGGCAACATATTTTTATGTCAAGTGTCGCGATCTCACATTCTCGCGTTTTTAAAAATATTTAAAAATATTAACTGTATAAGCAAATGTCACCAAAGCGCGAGATCGTGGCATTGGTCAAGTGGCGCGACCTCGCATTATCCCGTTTTTTTTCAAAATTTATATTTGTATACTTTAGGCAATTGGCACAAAAGCACGAAAACACGCGAACCTCGTGAAAAAACTCACTGGCCTGTGCTTTCATGTTTTCACAATCATTGGACATTTATGTAAACAATTTATATTGTTAATTTTTATTGAGCATGTGGAGGGTTTTAATCTAAAGTACATATAAAACTATAACAACGGGAAAGGACTTGTATACATTACATAGGACTTAAGTGTGTTTAAATTTATTTTTTTTAAAGTTTTTTCTAAATGGTATTTATGTATACCATTAAACTTTTTGAAAGATTTACTGAGACCAAACAAACTTTGAACAAGAATCCGATGACGATCCTTGAAATCTTCGTAGAAAGAGCATGCTCGACTGTACCTCAAAAGTTGTGCATTGTAGACACCAAGGGCTGGAGCTGCTGGAATATTGCTCGACATTAAGGAAGAGTTAACTATTGTCCAAGTACCGCATCTCGCGCTGCCGACTTTTGACAAAAATTGCTGTGTAAAAAACCCACGAGAATGGGAGATCGCGATAAAGCGAGATTTGGGCAAAATATCGATTTCTCGCAATTTTGGCATATTAAGCTGATTTCCAAAGGTCGAGATCGCGAGAGTGCAAGGCCGCGAGAATGTCCTTTACAGTATTCCATAGCAATAACACAAAATCCGTAAAATCCTGAAATCATCTTGTTATTGATATAAGTCAACTTATCACTTACATACCCGTTTAATACATGTTCCTTTTCTACGATCTGATTAATGAAAAGGCGAAATCGGTTACATGTAACGTGTTGTTGTAGAATGTTTGTTCGATCAAAATACCTTGCCTCGAGCTTGTTGTGGCAACATCTGAAGGATGGAGTTGTCCGTGACCTTGTGGAACAATGACGCTGGGATCCGCTTGCCGCCCGTCTTCAGGAACATGTAGGAAAAAATGAAAATGTAATCTCACCCACAGAGTAAAATAACTGCATTGGCATATGCATCTTGACATAAGTTGTATAATTGAAACATGGTATTTAAAGCTGTCATCAAAATGTGACGTCTTTGAAACGTTATCATCTCTGTCACCATATTATTAGGGGGCACGGGTAGCTCGAGATTCGCTGTACAGCGGTGCGTCCCTTGGGCACGCCAGAAACCTATGATTGTGGGTTCGAATCCCGGTTCGCCCCGATTATGTTTCTAGGTTTGTCAGCACATACCCGTGCTCGTGGGTTTCACCGAAGTTGTAAACGTCCGAGACCTGCATCACTCCCGGCTTTTCTCCCTCATTCAGCTGACACGCCGTGATATAAATGGAATGATGTTAAAAGCGGCGTTCAACCAAACTCACTATTACCATATTACTGTTCATTATCCATAACTCACCACGTGCACCTCCTGGTCATTGTAGGCCCTGAATGTGACCGGCGCCGGGTATTTGTGTGTGAAGTGGAGGGTGGATGGCAGGTCATAGTAGCCCTTCATCAGCTCAACATAGATAGCTGAAGCCACAATGAAATGATAGGCGTGACAGGAGTGACATGAAATACAATAACATAACAGTTCATTTTGAGGAGATCTATTTAATGTCATTGCGAGTAAACGAAATCACTTCGTTAAAATTCGTCGCTTTCAATCTTTCCTGACAGGTTATCAGAAGATTAAAATTGGTTTCTTTAGACATATTTATATTTTCCATCCGAGCTTTAATTGTATGAACATATTTATTTGAAATACAGCCTTAGTGGCAGATTTTTAAGCCAAAGGAGGTAATATATATTTTTTGTAATATATATACTGTTTTGAGTGAGTAAAAGTATAAAGACTTACTGACATATGCAGGTCATATCGCGGATATGTTTTACAAAGAAAAATAATGAAATCTTATTTTGAGTAAATTAGCCCTTCAAATTTGTTTGAATAAAAAATGTAGTAGATCAGTCTGGCAAAGAACAGACCAGTCGACAACATTTGTTATATGATCCCAACATACATGTACATTTATTCATATTCACTTTGTCAATGTAAATATAACCAAATATTCTTTCCCACGGTAATTGAAACACATGTTTGACAGTTTACATGAAATAATTTTCCTATATCTTATGTTTCAATATGAGTTCCTACTTACTGTTGCCTCTTATGCCAGACTCATCTATTTTCGACTTTGCCTTGTCCAAGGTCTTCAAAGGGTGTCTCACGTCAAGTCTATTAAAAAAGCACATTATTGTCTTAATGTATTCTTTAATGTAGACACATGTCTTGGGCTTATATGATGACATTACCCACATCACGTCTTATCACCTAGTTCTTTGCCAAACCAACAGCCTGTACACCATTACATAACGTACGAGATTCATACTAATGACATTCGGCAACTGGAATATGACAGAAGATATATGCTGGTTTATCGATGATCTGATATCGATCAATAACCATCAACTAGCCAATTCCCTTCCACTGATTTACCCACCTGAACTAGAAATAATGGAGATGAGTGAGAGCGCCTCATCTGTTTCATTTATAGATACATGCATAAAGATTCAGAGTAACAGAACACTCTCTATAAGACTGTATGCTAAGAGGAATGACTTCAACTTTCCAACAGTCAACTTTTCCTTTATGTCGAGCAATATTCCACCAGCTCCAGCCCTAGATGTCTACTTTTCACAAATTTGAGGTTCAAGCGAGCAGGCTCTTCTTCCAAGACTTCAAAGAGCGTCATCGGACGCTTGCTCAAAAGTTGTTTGGTCAAGGTTACAACACCCAAGGCCTCAGTAAAGCCTTCAGCACGTTTAATTGTAAAATTTCTGACCAAACAGTGGCAAAAATGATGTTCGATGCAATGCTTTAATTTCACTTGTACCATATGTTCCCGTGTATTTTAAGGTGAACAATTAAATTGCCTTTGCGCGTGTTTGTGCCGGGTGCCACCGGTAGGGCAGGATACGCTTACCTTTTCGCGAACACCTGGTTTTATCACTATTTAAAAGTGATTCATAAACACATGCTCGTGATACAGCCGGAATCGTACAATCGCCTTTTACAGAGATTTCTTATGGAAAGGGAGAGTTATTTCAGAGCCCTACTAACAATACTGATATGGAACGAAAGGTACATTCTCTTGGACATGTCTACATGATGCAAGGGTTTATCATTTTTCCGATCCATGTGTCAGTAAAAATAACTTAATAGTCAGGTTGACAGTATTTCAGCTGTAAAGTGTTCACAATGCAATTTTTTGTTAAGATTCAGTGCACAAATGAACACACGGATGCCATTTAGAAAGTGTTCAAATGTTACAACTGTTATATTTGGGATAACACGTTCTTAGTAAAGTATAGATTCTTGTACGTTTTGGGGGGTTGATTGTAAGTGGTCAAATGTAACAAATTTTATAAATTGTTTGTTCTTAGCTTTCGGCCATGGGATCCGTGCCAATTTACACTTGTCAGAGGGGTACACAAAGTACGTGATCTTGACTACTACTTGTTGGACTTTTTTTTGTGGAAGCCTCGGTGGCTGAGTGGTTTAGATCGCTGTCTTTGTGTGCTGGCAGTGTCGGTTCGAATCCCGGATAGGTCTCAACCTCCAAAAAGTACATCTGTACTTTATTAAGAAAGTCTTATCCCAACTATAACATTTAGTACACAGATGGTAACGATTCACTGACTTGCGTTAAAAGTAGAAAACTGACATTAACGCCAGTATCCAAGATTACTAAAATACACATTCTCACATGGCATTCTGATATTACGATTTTCACGAAGGCATTTTCCAGTAGGTAACACCTGTATCACCTGTACAAGCATATTTGATGAAAATATCAAGCTTGATAAAAACAAATAGCATATACCGACCCGTGTGTAGAGTCTCACATAGTAATGTGTTTTCAACCAACCATATCATACACAAGGGAGATGACTTCAACTTTTCCAATAGTTAACTCTTCCTTAATGTCAAGCAATATTCCAGCAGCTCCAGCCCTTGGTGTCTACATTTCACAACTTTTGAGGTACAGTCAAGCATGTTCTCTCTACGATTTCACGGACTCTTGCTCAAAGTTTGTTTGGTCTCAGTAAAGCTCCAAAAAGTGTAATGGTATACATATTAAGATTGATAAAAACAAAAAGCAAATACCGACCCGTGTGTAGATTCTCATATGACAATGGGTTTTCATTCTACCATGTCATACACAAGAGGGATCATCATGACTTCAAATTTCGATTGGTTGATGTGTTTTTTCAAATACCATGTTACACACATTATGCACCTACCCTGAGTTTAAATCCGAGCCACCAGGACTGACGTATACATGGACAGTCTTGGCTCCAACAAGCCCGAGGACTGCACATGGAAGCAGCAAACGGTAGAACAACATAGCACCACAAGATCAGATTTTCAACTGATTCAGCTCTTATCTTCAGCTGTTTAAGGATTGTGGGAATTGTCACCTGCCTCATCTAGTTCTTGGTCAAGCCACATCGAACTGTTTCCCTACATAAACCTGAAATGTGTGTCTGTTGTTATCCTGGCTAGAATGTACATGAACCGTCAGCGATGAGAGATATGTTCTAACACCTGTCATTACTATAATAGTGATTCATAAACACATGCTTATGATATAGTCTGAATCGTACAATGGACTTTATGGAAACATTTTTTTGAGCTTTTGTCGCTGTTATATGCATCTTGTCTTTTGTCAGAATTGTAGGATATATAACGAATACTTGTAGAATGTTGTATCTAATAAATAGTTGATACACTTACATACGAAATGTGGACACGTGAAGATCCGGGTTAGAGTAGGTCTTTGACTCATATTCATTAGTAATGTGTGCACGTCTATAACAAAGGTTTAATCAATTTCATTTCATATTCTTCGGAAACACAGATATTTGAAATTCATACAAAGTTCTTGTTTTTTGTCAGAAGAGGTAAACAAGTCAAATTACAGGTTAATAATGTAGCAAGGCTGATGCAATATTATTTGTAAGCAATTTGCATGCAGCGAGTATATGATTTGATTATAATGCAGCCACATTCGAAAACGGGCTTGTCTGAACAACTAATTCACATGATATAAACAATAGAACGAAACAATGATTGGGAAACCTGCTCTGATATCACGCGCACACAGATGAGCGAGCCCCAAGGCCAGACAAAAACATGCACGTGTATTGAAAAGAGCATCTTCTCAACCTCAACGGCGTTTCCTACAAATGACACATCCTGCTGGCGATCTTCCTCACCGAACTATTTGACTATGTGAAACCCCACATCATGTTGTACATATGACACAAAGTTCACAAAAACTGACATAAATATTACAATTGTTCATTTAACAGGTGTGGATTAAGAAGACACTGGTATGGGATTACGTAAATAACAACAAAAGGGTGCCCGAAATACAGTGTCAAATAATCAAATAATTACGTTGTTTGTATGTTTTGTTGTTTAACGACGCACTCAGTAATATGATGACGGTCTGTAAATAATCGAGTCTGGACCCGACAATCCAGTGATTGAAATCATGAGCATCGATCCACACAATTGGGATACGATGACATACATGAACCAAGTCAACGAGCCTGACCACCCGATCCCGTTAGTCGCCTCTTACGACAAGCATAGTCGACTCTTACGGCAAGCATAGGTTGCTGAAGACCTATTCTACCACGGAACTTCACGGGTCCAAATAATTAAGTAATTAAGAGTTATGATACCAGGTGTTGGCGAGAAGATGAGTGTAACATGTCGCACCGGTAGCACCCGTCACGAACACATGCAAAGGTAAGTCAATTGTTCACCGGGAAAACACGGGGAACATGTGGTGAGAAGTCAAGTTAGGGAAATGCATCGGACATCCTTTTTGTCACTGATGTGTGTCCTCAATATGTCCACCACACACGAATAAATCATGACACCGCTGCTCCTACCTGTATATATACTTGTCAACCATACTCTGTACATTACTTGCTTGATAACGGTATTAGAACCTACACCGAAACGTCGCTCCTAATTGTAATAAAGAAATTGTTCATCCATAAATCTTATCCTTACTTAGTTATAAGTGACAAGTGTGTGCGTGTGTGCGTGTGTGTGTGCGTGTGCATGTGTGCCCATGGTCCAATTACCTCCCGGCGTGTATTGGTCCACAATCACTGGAGTTGGCACACAGGTGATGAACGTGGTTGTATTCAAACACATGGTCATTGCCTTAGGCACAAATGACAACATATTAAAAGACAACCTAAAATGCAACACATGCTGAATAAAGTCTGTAAAGCTAACGCTCAAGGTAATTTAAATTAAAGCATTGATTCAAACATGTTCGCAAAGCTACCTGTAATGGGTCATCGTGATTGATGGCCTAATAGTGGAACTAACTTTGATATGTTTCATAACCCGTTAATTAGTATCCAAAGGCAAAATTCGACTCATTGTATCCCTCGGGCTTGGTGCATAACATTCAAAATTGACTATAAACGTTTTACACACACACACACACACACACACACACACACACACACACACACACACACACACACACACACACACACACACACACACACACACACACACACACACTTGATGCCGGTGTACTGGTGGTTGTAGCGCACTGATATCCCCACCCCAGAGAGATTGACAGCGTAGCCAAGTAGCGAACGCCCCCTAAACGGGCATACTGCCATACATGTATGTGGTTGTCTTCTATCAGGTGACTAGATGGCGCAAGTGTCTTTCGGTCACCATCTGTTTCATATAAGAAGTGATTGAATTAACAACGTCGGAAAATTATCAATCTCGAAATTCACAGGGCGGAAAAGACAAAATAGGAAAAATGGATCACTGGCAAGCTGTGGTGATACCAGGTGTTCGCGAAAAGTGTAAGCATGCCTTGCTCTGTCGGTATCATCCGCTTTGACACAAAATTTCATTAAAATGTAAGTGCCAGAGATCAGAAAGGAGGTATGAAAAATCAGCATTAAGGTCATGCGATTGAATAGAATCGTTGACGACCGACTAGTATGACTACAACTTTGGAATGACCTCACCAGGCCTTTGATGGTGAAACCATTCCATTAAAAATAGTTGTGTAGGTTAAAGTGATTTGAACGATCTGTACGAGCTCTAGTAATATAAAGTACTAAAGCGATTGACAAATGTAGATGATATAAGCTGATGAGAAATACATACTTTGCAAATCTTCTTATAACATAGAGGTTGCAGCTATATAATTGTTTTAGTTTATCCAGAGTTGGACTTATGCAATAACATTAAGGAAGTACCTGTTCCCTTAAATTCGAATAGAATAGACACTCGAGACAATAGTGGAATTCAGTTTCTATATATGGCACATTACAAAACTCTGTTGGATGGATAAGGGGACGAAACTGTTTGATCATGATAACGTTGGTTGGTTGTTTAGTGTTAAACGCGACCGCATCCGTGGTCTAGTGGTAGAGCGTCCGCCCGGAGAGCGGAAGGTCCGGGGTTCGATCCCCGGCCGCGTCATACCAAAAGACGTTAAAAGATGATACTTGTTGTTACCCTGTCTGGCGCTCGGCATTAAGGGACTAAAACAAGGACTGGTCGGCTCGGAGTCAGTATACTGTGTCTGAGTGGGGTATTCATGTTAAACTGCGGCATGGTATCTCAGTGAGCTAGCACTATAAATCGGCATCAGTCCGGACTAGTACAAGCAGCCAGACACACACACACGTGCATGCACGTCGCTATATAAGTGCAATAATCTTGGACGCGACGGTAAACCCAATTTCACCTCACCTTGATGTTAAACGCCGCATTCCGCAACGCCGCAATATTCCAGCTATATGGCGTCGGTCTGTAAATAATCGAGTCTGGACCAGACAATACAGTGATTATTATCATGAGCATCGATCCACGCAATTGGGATTCTTGATTATGTAAAAAGTTATCTATATATCTGAAAATCAGGTTGATCATTTTGGCAACATTCTTTGAGTTAACTAAAGTTAGTGAAACAATCCGACTCTGATGGAAAGAGGAAGAGATCGGCTAGGAGGCGGGCACACTTAGTCTTGGTAAACAAGAGGATCCAGGAGAATAGTCCAGTTACACAACGCTTACATTATGCAGAGGGAGCTTAATGTGACAAGAAGAAAATGGGTAGTAATTTCGACGACGCCAAGACAACAACTCACCACTAATCATCACCTATTTACGTTGTCAGAGTATAGTGTTGCTGTGAAGTATGATTGGATCTCTGCATCCAAAAACACATTACACTGGACATAGGTCAAGACTTTCGGTCTCTTAGCCAAGCTCATGTACCAAATTCATAATCGGAACCAGGTAATCTGACCATAAACCATCAGCGCTGGTACACGAGCATAATACAATACAATTATGCACAATTTAAACTCATGAGAGAGACGATACATGTTCCTAAATTAAAAGTTCAGTTCACTGAAATTAAAAGAAGAAATCATTATTTTTGGTAATGAATAGATATTGACAATGACAGTCATCATTCCGGTATTGAAGATTTGCCGTGTAGCAGTGAAGATTGTTGTTAGTTTATGTGTAGTGATTTTCACTGGCTGCAAATGATTGAAGCATTCTTAAAATGTCGAGCGCTGTCGAGGCCAGATTTTAGTGGTACTCGATGAGTAATTTAGAGTTATCCACCTTTGTTTACATGCAATATGACAAACGTGATCGTTCGAGAACTTTCGTGGTGGGACAGTTGTAGAAGGCTGACGGTACCTATGATATGAGCGACACGCCTTTTATGACCTGACTTGCATCTCATCTACTAGCCAAATGTGGTTTGGATACCTATCTAAACACACCGAATTCCTACGAGCTTCGAACACGCTTCCACACTGACATTATTCCGGTCAAAGACCGCCTCCGTGGTCTAGTGGTAGAACGTCTGCCCGGAGAGCGGAAGATCCGGGGTTCGATCCCCGGCCGCGTCATACCAAAAGACGTTAAAAGATGGTACTTGTTGTTACCCTGTCTGGTCGACTCGGAGTCAGTATATTGTGTCTGAGTGGGGTATTCATGTTAAACTGCGGCATGGTATCTCAGTGAGCTAGCACTATAAATCAGCATCAGTCCGGACTAGTACAAGCAGCTTCACAAACACACACACGAACATTCACGTCGCTATATAAGTGCAATAACCTTGTACGCGACGTTAAACCCCATTTCACCTCACCTCACCTTATTCCGGTCAATAGTGAGTGTACTGACATATATTGTAGGGCATGTTACTTGTTGCTGCTTCCACTTATTTGATCCATTTTATTGCCTTTTATGATCGTAAACCTAAAAGTGTGTGTTTCAATATGATATCTTGTGTGGTCACTTACTGTTTCACAGACCGCCTCCGTGGTCTGATGGTCGACCGTCCGCCCGGAGAGTGGAAGGTCTGGGGTTCGATCTCCGTCGCGTGATACCAAAAGACGTTAAAAATAGAACCACACTCACTCACTCACTCACTCACTCACTCACTCATTTCAATAGACATCCCATGCTCAACATGAAGATAAAACAGATATCGACTTCATGATTTCAGTAATGCCAGTGCAAATAAAACATCTAGTCATCATAAAACCGCATTGATCCAATGTGTCAATGTTCGCTCTTACTGGCTGATCCAGTTCCGACAACATGTTGAGGACCCGAAAGTAGCCGCCCTGGTTGGTGTATCCTTGAAGGTGAGCATCATTGTAATGACCTGGAATAGTGAATTCTGCTGAATCAGACCCTTACAGGCAACATCGAGTGCGATACAGGAGCCAGAGTAAAATGATAACCACGTACTATGAAATCGTAGCAATGTAAAGTTAAAGTCATCGCGACTGAATTCTGTAAATGTCATAAATGTCCCTGAAAATTTAGATCGTACCTGTTCGAAGCCCATATCGAGTTTCGGTTGCCGAGGTGATCTGGTTTGTGTGTAGATCTATCTTGGTTATTTTGACGGCGTTATTAGCACAGCTCCAGTACCTGACAATTAAAATACTCACCGTAAACTGTATTAATGCTAAGTGGACAAAAATAACGTGTTTCCATTAATTAGAACTGATAATCTTTCAATTGATCTTCTATCTCTGATCAGCGTTGGAAATACCTGACTGCCCGACTGCCCGAATTATTCCGTCTCGGGCAGTAAACTTTTTGAAAGTGCACGCCTGATGGTCGTGTTGATTTTTAAATGGTATATGTAAAATATATGAATACAAATTTGTCTAAACCTCATATTGGCTGACATGATGGCTACAAATGCAGCTAAGCGACTCATTTGCGATTGCACGAAATGTTACTGTAACCAATGCTAACGTTTATAAATATATTTACACGAAACTTTGGCGTGTACTCCCAACACTGCAACAACGCGTAGTAAATGTCTGGCATAACAACGCGAGGCCGCCAAAATAGTGTGTTGAGCTTTGTTTTTGTTTCTGTTTTGTGTGTGTGTCTGCGTGCGTGCGTGCGTGCGTGCGTGCGTGCGTGCGTGTGTGTGTGTGTGTGTGTGTGTGTGTGTGTGTGTGTGTGTGTGTGTGTGTGTAAATAATCAACATCAGTATTTGTCAGAATATCTTTGAAGTTAGGGATATATAAGTAAATCCATGCAGCCCTACCAGCCCTACCAGTATCCAATGGCCCAATGTTCCTTCTCATATCCTCACTGAAGCCATGTGTAAAGGTGGTGGCGGACTTGCTACTGACCGCTGACTCATCTATATACCCGTGAACAGTCATCATGTCATATAGGTGAGGTGAGGTGAAATTGGGTTTAACGTCGCGTCCAAGATTATTGCACTTATGTAGCGACGTGCATGCACGTGTATGTGTGTGTGTGGCTGCTTGTACTAGTCCGGACTGATGCCGATTTATAGTGCTAGCTCACTGAGATACCATGCCGCAGTTTAACATGAATACCCCACTCAGACACAGAATACTGACTCCGAGCTGACCAGTCCTTGTTTTAGCCCCTTAATGCCGAGCGCCAGACAGGGTAACAACAAGTACAATCTTTTAACGTCTTTTTGTATGACGCGGCCCGGGATCAAACGCTGGACCTTCTGCTCTCCGGGCGGACGCTCTACCACAAGACCACGGAGGCGGTCCCATGTCATATAGAGAAAAGCCAGCAAGGCATATGTTGTACACTGACACACTGTACCACATTCTACTCAATAAGAAACTGATGGCTTTCAGACCCCAAACAAATTTTAGAAACTTGAATAGAGCCTCGTAAGGACATCCCTGTCCAGAACGTTTCAAGCCATAGTTATGGTATGTTTAATGAGAGTATGCTTATACAGAATGGTCACACGTTCGTATAACGAAGGGGGCACGGGTGGCCCAGTCGTCTAAGGCGCCGCGATTCGCTGTGCAGAGTTGCGTCCCTTGGGCACGCCAGAAACCTATGATTGTGTTCGAATCCCGGTTAGCCCCGATTATGTTTCTAGGTTTGTCAGCACCATACCCGTGCTCGTGCGTTTCACCGAAATAGTAAACGTCTGAGACCTGCATCACGTCGGGCTTTCCTCCCACATTAAGCTGACACGCCGTGATATAACTGTAATACTGTTAAAAGCGGCGTTAAAACCCAACTCACTCACTCACTCACTCTTATAACGAAACCAACACATTATGTGAAAACAACCACTTCGTCCTTAATATCGCCTACTCTTTTCAATCTAAATACAGGACAAAATACTGGGATAAGGGTGACCTCATTTGGTATCCGGCAACACATGAAGTCGTACAACGGCGTGACTGATGACTCGGCATTTGGCTGGCAATGACCTTCAGTGCTTTCGAAATAAAAGGAGATAAGACTACTTCATTTGGCGCTTTCAAACCCAAAAGGAACTAAGGCCTACTTCATTTGGATATCTGGCCAGACGTGTTGGGTTTCCGTTGATAAACAGCTCCAGCCATGAAATCTTGGTCGTGTAGAAGCCAAAGCGTGTGGTTTTGCCATAGTCAGATAATCCAGCGTTCGGGAGATGGACCTATGATGAAGTTTATAATGTGTGAGTTATCTTCCCGTGTACGATTCCGACTATTCCATGAGCATGAGTTTATGAATCAATATACAGTAATGATGATGTTGGCACATAAAATAATGTATTTAAGGACATTTATAGTGCATAAAATTACATTATTTTATAACTTATAATGAAACTTGAAACAATGCTGAACATAATTATGAAGCTGCTGTAACGCTTTATATAGTATCAATGTACAGTATGCCATACTCAGGTACCTAGGGCAACACTCCTAAAAGCGGAAGGCAGAACATATTCCACAAAATCCTCACAATCCTTTGTGGAAAACATGTCTCAAAATGTACCTGCACTACAAACAAATTTATGCAATGTTATAAACATCGGTGTATATAAACAAATGTCACATATTATGTTTGAATGCTCAAAAATACCTTGCCGCGGGCATTTTGTGGCAACATCTGAAGAACAGAGTTGTCCGTGACCTTGTGGAACATGGATGCTGGGATCCGCTGGCCACCCGTCTACAAGAACATGTTAGAAAAAAAATTGAAATACAATCTCACCCACAGAATATGCATATGACAGGTATTTGAGCCTTTAAGTCTTAGACAGGGGACACTGGCTGTAGAACTGATACATCATAATCTTTATAATTATGCTTTATATTATCCCTGACTCACCACGTGCACCTCCTGGTCCTTGTAGGTCCTGAAGGTGACCTTGGCCGTGTATTTGTGTGTAACGTGGAGGGTGGAGGGTAGATAGATGAAGATATGTTAAATGTTAGATGTGTTACTCGTTAGTGAGCACCGAATACAATACACGTTCATAATCCATACCTAATATATAAAAAGCTTAATAAAAATAAATTGATGAATTATATGACTGCTATGGCAGGATGAAGTAACAATAATTCGACTAATAATTATATAAAGTATCCAACGTTTGCCCACAACGCTACATTGTTTCCCTGGTCTATAGATCAGTGCGGATTTCAATGATGGATTTATTGTTTAAAACATATTTGTGTTGAGTGAGTGAGTGAGTATGGTTTTACGCCGCTTTTAGCAATATTCCAGCAATATTCCAGCAATATCACGGCGGGGGACACCAATATGGGCTTCACACATTGTACCCATGTCGGGAATCTAACCCGGGTCCTTGGCGTGACGAGCGAACGCTTTAACCACTACGCTACCCGACCGCCCCGGCAACACATGTAGTAAATTAATGCTGCTACGTAGTCACATTCTTACAGATCCAATAGGGGGCATCTATAGGACCAGGGGCCACGGATGGCCCAGTCGTCTAAGGCGCCGGAATTCGCTGTGTAGAGTTGCGTCCCTTGGGCACGCCAGAAACCTATGATTGTGGGTTCGAATCCCGGTTCGCCCCGATTATGATTCTAGGTTTGTCAGCACCAAAACTTGTGGGTTTCACCGAAGTGGTAAACGTCAGAGACCTGCATCACTTCGGGCTTTCCGCCGACATTAAGCTGAAACGCCGTGATATAACTGGAATACTGTTGAAAGCGGCGTTAACCCAACTCACTCACTCACTCACTCTATAGTATAAGTTTATCCACACAATCCTTAATTTCGACATTTCTCCGAAAGTTTTTCGTCTGTACAAGAGAATAATGTCCAACCCTTTCTCTTGGATCCTTGATCACCGATCCATGTCACTGCATGTTATAACCAGCATGGAGATCAATTATATACCGGTATCCCCTCTGTGTGTGTGTGTGTGTGTGTGTGTGTGTGTGTGTGTGTGTGTGTGTGTGTGTGTGTGTGTGTGTGTGTGTGTGTGTGCTTGTACCAGTTCGAACGTATGCCTATTTTATAATGCTACCCCAATAAGATACCATTCCGCAGTTTAACATGGATACACCATACTCAGACCCTATCTCTTTAATGCCGTACGCAAGTTAGGATAACAACAGGTAAAGTCTTGTAAAGCCTTTTTATATGACGCGGCCACGGGATCGAACTATGGCCTTCCGCTCTCTGGGAGGACGCTCTATCCACTTGACCGCAGTGGATCTCACATACCTATGCTGTCGTCGGAATCCTACAATGGACTCTAAGAGCCTAAGGGTTTTCTCGCTTGTAAGATGGTTTCAGTCTATATACAAACTTTCATATAAAACTAGATACACTATATACATGTTCTTGTTGCCAGACATATCCGAAACCAAACCTGTATAAAATATATAATTTTTGAAGCCAAGCCAAGTTAGTCCTTCCATTCTCACAATAAAAAAAGTGAATTTTGGTTGATGAACTTATTTTTGTGACAACTGTATTCAAAATCTAAGGTTTACTGAATGTGAAGCATAAAACACGCTGTTGTTCAGAAGAGGTTTATTCAAGAAATATGGAGAGGCCATCGGTTCAATGCACAAATGTAAAACATATTGGAGAGAGAGGGTCACACATTGATGAATTAAAACGGTGACATCAATACATTCAACACTTGATGATAGAAAGAAGGCGCGCCAATTAATCATAATTTATGGACAAAACTTAAAATGAATTGCTCCTTTTAAAAAAACATACAGACAATATTTTATGACCTCAACATTTTTGGAAGAAAACATAGAAGAACCGTTACATTGTATCAAAGAGTTGGATTGTATAGATGTATTGTTTTCACAAACTCTTTACCCTTGTATAGCATTTGATGCGGCGTAAAGTATCTGCGTCTCTACTCCGTAGTGCAACCATCTGTTCTGCTCACTTGCAATCTCTCTGCCTCCTCTATCCTCTCTAGTCACCAGGTCCACCAACTCACTGCACTCACAGTATCCATTCTATCCTCCCTTGAACACTCCAAACACCCTTTCCCATATCAATCCGCCTACTCTAACCATTTTTACTCACTACACTAGTAAACCCAATGCCGTTATTACAAAGTATACCTAAACTCTAAAGGGCAATCTTTCATCTTCTCCTGGTAGGTT